CCTTCTTCAGAAATGAAGAAGGGTCTAGGCCCGAAACGTCAGCCTTCCTGCTCCTCTGATGCTGCTTGGCCTGCTGTGTTCATCCAGCTCTACACCTTGTTATCTCAGATTCTCCAGCATCTGCAGTTCCTACTATCTATTTTCTGTAACAATGTTGGTACAGCCTATCCTAGTACGGTGCAGCACCCCATGCAGGCTTGCCTGGTTATGCTGTGCCATGTGTATTCATGTTGCCATAAGACTCTTGGTAGACCTTAATGGTCACTGAGCAATTTACAGGTTATGCTTACGAAAGCGGTAAGCGTATGGTTCCAAAGACATGATGGACCCTGCTGTCATAGGCTATATTCCTGTCCTGTGTTCTTTAGTTCCAGGGTTGCTGTGTCAATGCCAAGGAGTGGAAGTGGCCACTTTTCCCCAGCAATTTGGAAAGCTGTGACCCAGGCGGGATATTTTACGAAGGTGATTTCCTGAAAGTCCTGTTTGACAGAATGGCACAGATCTTGCATCAGGTAACTATCAATTGAAAGGAACAGCAGAATTTCAGATAATTGATTATCAGATGCTATCAAATGATGGCTTGCTTATTTCCTGGCTGTGAATCAATGCACAACCCATTCCAGATAAGATTCTATAGCAGGGTCAGCTGTGGCTCAGTGGATTGCATTTCAACTCAATGAAGGGGTCATGGATTCAGGTCCAACTCCAGAGACTTAGGCATAAAGTCTAGTCTGATGCTCTGCAGTACAGAGGGAGAGCCATACAGCTGTCAAAATTCTCTTACTGAAGGGAGTGTTTCACTGTCAGAGATCAGAGCTGAGTGCACTGCACTGCCAAATGCTCTTACTGGGGAATGCTGTACTGTTGGAGAGTCAGTTCTGAGGGAGTGCTGCACTATCAGAAGGTCAGTAGCAACAGAGTGGGACACTGTGGGAGCACTGCAGTGTCTCAGTGTCATTGCTGGGCAGTGCTGCACTATCAAAAGGTCAGTACTGAGGTGGCATTGCTCTGTCAGAGGGTCTGTACTGAGGGAACACAACTATTACAAAAACTGTACTGAGCGAGTGCTGCTTTGTTAGAGATGCCATCTTTCATGAAACATTAAACTGAAGCACCATCTGCCCTCTGGTGGGTGTAAGAGATCCAACATCGGTAATTAAAAAGGACAGGCCAATAATGATTCCTTGAGATTTAAAAAAGTCATGAGGGGCATATGTTTTACACAGAGGGTGGCTCGTGTGTGGTATGAAGTACCTGATGAAGTGGTGGATGTGGGTACAATTACAACATTTAAAAGACATTTGGATAGGAAAGGTTTGGAAGGGTGTGGGCCAGGAGCAGGGAGGTGAGACTGGTTTAGTTTGGGATGATGTTCGGCATGGACAGATTGGACCAAAGGATTTGTTTCCATGCTGTGTGACTCTAATAACCAGAATTAGATTACCTGGCCTTTGAGAAGATTTGTAGCTTGTGTTGTGGATGAGGTTGTAGACCTGCTCGCCAAGCCAGTGATGCACAGACTATTTACCTAGCAGGGTGACGAAACGTCTGCAATCAAACACATCACCTCAGTGAGCAAGTCTACAACCTTGGATTATCTGGCTGTTATCTCATTGCTTTTGATGCACCAGATTAGTTTTCATGTTTCCATCAACTATAGCTACACTTTATTGACTGTTAAGCATTTTGGGATACCTCGGAAGTCATTAAAGGTGCTATAGAAATGCAATCTCTCTTCCCTCAGAAGATGCATATCTTTCCCAAAGATGTAGGAGGGCTAGAGGTTTCCCTCAGCTTTTACTGATCAAGAACAACAACTGACATTTGTACAAAAACAAAGTTGCTGGAAAAGCTCAGCAGGTCTGGCAGCATCTGTGAAGGAGAAAACAGAGTTAACGTTTCGGGTTCGGTGACCCTTCCTCAGAACTGACATTTGTAAATTGCCTTAACATTAAAGAAAACACATCCCAAGTGCCTCATAAAGACCATGAAAAACTTGCACCTAATGAAATAATTTTCTGCATTCAACTAAACAGTACTTATTGCATCCATTATTTTGATCTTAATATTTTCTCTTTCAGCCTTACGACCTGAATTTGCAAGTCACATCTGTGATATCGAAAGTAGCACTTTTCCCTCATCCTCACCTCCATGAGTATTTGCTGGATCCATACATTAACCTTGCCCCTAGCTGCAGATCTCTCTTCTCTATCATTGTCCGAGTGAGTACTCTCGTCTTGATCTGTCACCTCAGTACTTTGCTCCAATCAATCATTCATTAGCATCGAGGATGTGCTGAGGATTAGATAAGTAGGCAGCTGTTAACACTATACAGACTGAAGTTACAAATCTGAGTGAGCAGGGTAGTACAGTTGGAGACACATTGGGGCTAACAGCCCAGGGTCACAAGTTTATGGCAAACTGAACAAATATCCATGCTTTATTATTTAAAGACCCAATTGGATCCCTGGCCTGCCACCTCTATAGGGTCTCGCCTGCTCATGACTTCAAAGTCACTTGAAGTTCTTGACTTCATGAGACATTAAACTGAAGTCCTGTCCGCCCTCTTGTGGATAGAAACAATCCCAAATCTCCAAGGGGAAAGATTTTTCTGGTGCTCTCGCCAATAATTCTTTTAACTCACATTTAAAGACAGATTATCTGGCCATAATCTTAAAACACAACCTTCCCAGGACAATAAATGCCAGCCTCACTCACATGCTGAGAATGATCATGTGAGAAAGGCATTGGGTGCTTTCTTGTAATAATAACTGGCGTTATCAAAATGGCATGGTGGCTCAGTGGTTAGCACTGCTGCCTCACAGTGTTGGGGACCCGGGTTCAATCCCATCCTCGGGTGACTGTCTGTATGGAGTTTGCATGATCTCCCTGTGTCTGTGTGGGTTCCCTCCCACAGTCCAAAGATGTGCAGGTTAGGTGGATCGACCATGCTAAAGTGTCCATAGTGACCAGGAATGTGGGCTGGGTGGGTTAGCTTTGGGAAATGCAGGATTGTAATGAGAGTTTGGTTCTGGTGGGACTCTCTTCTGAGGGTCAGTGTGGACTCGGTGGGCCGAATGGCCTGTTTGCACACTGTAAGGATTCTATGATTCAGAAAGACATCTGTGACTAAATGGTAACACTACTAGATGAGCAGTCTAAACACTGCTCTGGAGAGACAAGTTCAAATCCTTTCACAGCAGCTTGGGGATTTCAAATGCTGGGGAATAATAAATCTGCAGTAAAAATGATAATCTTATTATTAATGATTACGAAATCTATTTTGAAATCTACACGTCATTACCAGACCAGTCCAGCCTAGCCTATAGGATACCAGGCCTATAGCAATATGTTTGACTCTTAACTGCCCTCCAAAATAGTTAGCAAGCCACACGGCTGTTAGGAAAAAGTACTGTTGGTGTACCAATACTGTGTGGGCTTCAGCGATTCAAGAACATGGTTCACCACCACGTTCTCAAAATCACTAAATGCTCACAATCACCACAGTGACCTTGAAAGAAAATAAGTTACCCAATCAGATTGATTCCTGTAATGGAACTGCCCATTCTCTGCTTTCTCAGGTAATCGGAGATCTCATGCAGAAAATCCAGAGAGTCCCACAGTTTCCCTCCAAGCTACTGCTAGTCCGAAGACAACTGATGGGATTGGAACCAGAAAATGTGTAAGTGACATGGAATTATTCTGCATGTTCTTAATATTTAGGAACTTCAGCCATTTGCATGTTCATGTGTTTAGCTGTATCAAAGACAAACTTTGTCAAGCTAGATATTTTTTGTACGCTTTGATTTACTGAATTTATGAATCTTCTAAAGCTAGCTTCCAAGTACAGGTGGCAATGTAGAATGTTGGCCCTTATTTCAAAGGGAATGGAGTGGACAAAGTGGAACATTTTTCTAAAACTATACAAGACATTCATCACACCACAACTAGAATACTGAGCAAAGTCTGGAGGAGATTCACTAGGCTGGTCCTAGGTAGGGAGGAATTTTCCATTCCTACTCTACTTCTCCTCAGTCTGCAAATCCCCATCCCCATTCTGGACCCCTCATTCTGCAAGCCCAATTCCTACTGTCTCACTTCAGTCTCAAAGCTTCAGCTCTCCTCTCAGGATAAAAGCCCAAACTCAGCTTGACCTCTGCACGACACCTTTCAAATAATTTTTAAACCCACTCTTATTGGCCAAGTTTGGACACTTTGAATCACTGTCCTTTCTAGGCAGATTTACACAGTCAATTGCTTTATCAGGATGAACTAGAGGGTGTTACAAGAGCACAGGACAGCATTGTTTACTTTTGTGATTATTCATCACTGCCACCTTATTTAAATGTTCAATTAAATTGATTTTTGATTTGTTAATTTTGCAGGGTGGATCACACCACAATTCTGAAGGGTGTCATTGTCCTGGAGGAGTTCTGTAAGGAGTTAGCTGCAATTTCATTTGTTAAGTACCCATCTGAACCAGATTAAGACTGGCTACCTAGCTCTTTCTGCCTATTACTGAAGAGATCATTGAAATGGAACTGGACACATTTCCAGAAAACAGACTGACAATACATCTCTCTTCTATTTAATCTTTTTAAGTTCAGCTGTGTGTGATCATCTGCTGGTGAATTTATAACACGATTTTCTCATCTTCTTCGGAATCCCACCTTTAACTTGAACTAGGGGATTACCTGTTCCTCCTGCCAGCAGGATCCAATTCAGATACGGACTCCTGTTAACAGGACAAGTCACTCTTCGAACCCAAGTGGTACCTCTGATCACACTTCCCTTCTCTCCCTGTCACCTCCAGCCATGCACCATTTCTGCTTCTCACTTGACCGTGACTCAGGATACGTGAGGTACAAGATTTTGTTGTTGTTGCTTCCAAATATTTAATGGGGTGAAATACTTTGACATTTCTAAGGTTAACACGGCTGTGCAACTCTCAGTTGTAAATATGTCTGATGATGAGCGAATCACATGAATATACCTTGGCGTTTTGATGTCTTGTTGTTTATTGATAGACTCAAACAAGGAGGTAAAAGTGGATGTGTTTTAAAATGAGCTGCTTGATGTGTAGAAAATGATCCTTGTGTTAGAGGGGCGATGTGGGGAATGGTGTAAGCTTGTAGAGTCTGTCAGTGACAATGCAATAAAAATGTTATTTTGTGATTAAAATACAAGAGATTGAATGTCTGTGCTCCTGAATTAAATAATTTAGAAGCTGTGCTGAAAAGGGACCACAGCTCCATTTTGTTGGGGGCGGGGTGGGGGGGCAGGGTGGTGGGGGAGGGGTGTTGCTGATGCACCATTGAAGGTGCACTCCTTCAGATGAACGTTAATAATCTGCAGTGCTGTTGGAAATTTAATATCTACTTTACTGATACCACATTGCACAAGGCACCAAACTCTAATCAGTCTAATTTACAGTTTTCAGTTAGCGAGGGGATGATAGTTTCTTCTTCCTTCAGCTCAGAGACTCTGCATAGGATGAGAAGAGGCTCTGTTTCTCTACAACAAGCACTCAGTGAAATGATTAGGCAGTGCCGCTCAAAGGATGGCACGTGCTGCCTTGAAGGCTGCCACTTCCTCGGGCGTCCTCAAGTACTGCTCAATTTCACTGTCAGATATCTCCTCCTCTCCAGTGGTTGGCTCAGTGTGGAGGCTGGCCTCTGCTTCTGGGCATGCCTTCTTCCTCTTCCTTTGGTTGAGGCACGGAGGGAGGAAGACTGGTGTTTTGCGCTTCTGCCTTGACACCTCGTCTCCTACATGGTCTGCAAGGGAGGGCACTGACTCCCCACCATCCCCATCCCCATCCCCGCTCCCACCCTCAGCACCTGCACCCATTTCTGTTTGTTTGCTCAGGTCTGTCTGCGCATTTGTGTTCTCTGCCCATGCAAGGCTCAGCGTCTGCTTGAGTAACAGGGTACGGTGGCGGAGAATATCATCGGTGTACTTCACCACAGTCTTAGCATCAAGCTGCTGTGGTACCAACCAGGCAAGCTGTGATGCCAGCCTGACCAGAATGTCAAGCATCTCCTTCACCCGCTGAGAGGCAGGTGGTGGCTGCCTGACTCCCACCAGCTTGCAGAACCTTCCCAGGCTGCACTTCAGACGGTGTCCAGGCAGCAGTGACTGCCAGGCCAGATAAGCCGCTGCCGTGATAATAGGCACTGGGTGTCTTCCAGTCACCAGCCAAGTCTCACTGGCGAGCTCCACAAGCTGCATGGCACGTTCCACCACCTTTTCTTTATTCTCCAGAAACTGGGATGGGATTGATGCAGAATTCTGGAACAAATTAAAACTATAGAGAGACAAAACAAAATCGAATTAGAGTCACATTCTGAAAGAAAATCAACTGGATACACCTTATACACAGCAATAGCATGCTCAGAGATGTTCAGTTTAGTTTTCCAGATTTCGTTACTGCCTTGTTCCAAACATAGACAACAGCTGAATTTCAGAGGGGAAGGTGATTGCCCTCAACAGCAAAGCTGCATCTGAGTATGACATCAAGAAGCCTTAACAAAACTGACCAAAAAGCCACCATGGGGAGCTGTTTGGGTTGCAAGCTTGCACAAAGCAAGATTGCGGTGGCTGTTGGAGGCCAACCATCTCAGGCCCAGGAATCGCAACAGGAATTTCTTAGGGAGTGTTCAAAACTCAACCATTTTCAACTACTTCATCTACAATTTTGCATCTGCCATAAGGTTAGGGGTGGCATGTTCACTGGTGATTACTTAGCAACATTCATGACTCCTCAGATACTGAAGCAATCTATCTCCCAATGCAGCAACTCCTGGGCAAAATCCAGGCTCAGGCTAATATGTGGCAAGTAGTATTAGCACTACATAAGTGCTGGGTAATGACATTGTCAAACAAGAGAAAATTTAACCATCTCCCCTTGACATTCAATTACATCACCATCATTGAATCCCATACTATCAACAACCTGGAGGTTGCCATTGACCAGACACAACTGGACTAGCTTAATAAATAATGGGCGACAAGAGGAGGTCAGAGGTTAGGAATCCTGCAGTGAGTAACTTCCCTCCTGACTCTCCCATCATCTACACAGCACAAGTCACAAGTGTGACAGAAAACTCCCCACTTGCCTGAATGGGAGCAGCTCCAACCACACAAGAAATTTGACAGCATCAACAAGGAAGCAGCTCCCTTGATTGGCACCATGTTCACTCACTCCAGCACTGTCACTTGAGCAGCAGTCTGTACTACCTACAAAATGCACTGCAGAAATTCAGTGAAGATCCTCAAACAGCACCTTCCAAACCCATGACCAGAAGGACAAGGGGAGCAGATATATGGGAACACTACGACCACCTGCAAGTTCCCCTTCAAACCACTCACCATCCTGACTTGGAAATATATCACCATTCCTTCACTGTTGCTGGGTCAAAATCCTTGAATTCCTTCCCTAAAGGCATTGCGGGTCTACCTACAGCACACAGACAGCAGTGGTCAAGGCGGCAGCTCACCACCACCTTCTAAAGGCCACCTAGGGACTAGGCTAGTACTTTGATGAAAGTACTGTACCTGATTCATGACACCATATTGACTTGGGCTGTGAACTGACTTGCCAGAAATGGGCAGAGACCAATCATAGATCTCAATCAGTTTGGAGACTGGTCACTGATGGCATCCCACCAGGATCAGTGCTGGGACTACAGCTCGCTCCAATTTTTATTAATGATCTGGAAATTTGCTGACAATACTAAAATCTGTGCAAGTACTAAGATTGTAGATGATGCTGGACAGCTTTGAATGGGAGCTTAATGTGTTTAGAGTTTCAGTTTTCTTCGTATACTCATTCACAGGAGGACTTCACTGGCTAGTCCAGCATTTTTGCGGATAAGAGTCAACCACATTGCTGTGGGTGTGAATTCACTTGTAGGCCAGACCAGGTAAAGATGGCAGTTTCCTTCCATGAAGGACATTCGTGAACCAAATGGGTTTTCTCTAATATTGACAATGGATTCCTGCTTATCATTACACTCTTAATTCCAGATCTTCATCAAATTCACTTTTCGCCACCTGCCATGGCGCGATTTGAACCTGTTTCCCAGAACATTACCCAGCCACTTGGCAGTGTGTATTTGAAATGTGTAGAGTTATGCTTGATATACATAACACACATCATTCAGGGAAGAGCATTAAAGACAATGGACAAAGGAAAGAAATCTGAGTGTCGCAGTTTGGACATCTCTAAAGGTATATGTGAAGAATGACTGCAGAACATGGGGTATTGGGTGCATTCATCAGGGCATGGTTTCAAAGACAAGGCAAAAATATTTTGCCTGTCTGCAAGACCTGTCAGATCTTGCCTGGAATCCAGCAGACACCAACCATTGTTTTGCTTTGGTCTCCTCACATTGTAAGTGATGTGGAGACTTTGCAGGCTGACTCGACTGCTTCCCAGTTTAAAGCATCTTGGTTATCAAGAGTTGGTTGTTTACACCTCACACAAGTTGTAGTCTTGAGAATAATTAAATCCAAATTTATCAGCATCTCTCAGGTGATTTGTAATTCATCAATTTTGAACTGAGAGCTAGAAATGACTTTCCGATAGCTTAGGATAAAAGGAAAAAAACTGACGAAACGAGTTTCTTTCTTTAAAAGCTTCTAACAAACACATCGATCCCAGGGAAGAGCATTGTGTTTAAAAAGAAAGAAGTTGGCTAATGAATGGGATCAGGACCTGAGAATTAGTTCTGGCAAGTCTGGAAGAGATCCTCTGTATAAGCAGGTGGCAGTTGTTCAATGGTAATTGAGGCCTCGGGAACAGTCATTCAGTCTATCAGGGTGGAACCAGAAATAAAGTTGTTTTTTTGAAGTGTTTTCTGAAACAGCATGAAGATTTTAAAAGCTCCACGCCCGATCTGCTACACCAGCTTCAGGAAACCCAAAAAGTAGAAAGCTGAGTTTGAAGTATTGTTGCCTGTGTCTCTGTGAACTGATAAGATGATCCTGATCAACATTTCAGAAAAAGCAACCAATAAGTCCACATTTATGCTTCTGAAACAATGCTTTTTCAAAGCCATTTAAGTAATCTGAACAGTTTTGTTTGTTTTATAATTTATCCCTTAACTATCTTAACTGTCTTTTGCGTGAATGGGACTGAAAACAAAAGTTTCAGTTTTAAGGCACAGACATCAAACAACATCATAAGCTGATTAATGTTCTTTCTACTGAAGTTGTTGTGTATTTAATGAATAATTAAGCCTTTTGTTTAGGATACAAAACCGTTGTCTGGAAATTAATTTCTTTTAGTCACTCATGGGATGTGGACATCGCTGGCTGGCCAACATTTTATTGCCCATCCCTACTTGGTCTTGAGATGGTAGTGATGAGCTGCCTTCTTGAACAATTGCAGTCTATGTGCTGTAAGTAGACCCACAATGCCTTTAGGGAGGGAATTCAAGGACTTTGACCCAGCGACTATAAAGGAATGGCGATTATGTTTCCAAATCAGGATGGTGAGTGGCTTGGACAAGAACCTGCTCCCGTGGAGTGAGTGAATATTTGTGCATGTGGTACCATTTAAGCAGGCTGCTTCTTTGTTGATGCTCTTGGGTTTCTTGATTGTTGTTGGAGCTGCTCCCATCCAGGCAAGTGGAGGGTTTTCCATCACACTGTGTGCAGTTCTGGTCACCTTGTTATAGGAAGGATATTATTACACTAGAGAGGGTTCAGAAAAGATTTACCAGGTTGTTGCCAGCACTAGTTTGACTTATAAAAATAGGTGGATAGGCTGGGACTTTTTTTACTGGAGCATAAGGAGGTTGAAGGGTGATCTTATACAGGTTTATAAAATCATAACTGACATAAGTAAAGTGAATAGCAAAGGTCTTTCCTCTAGGGTGGGAGAGTTCAAAACTGAGGGGCATATTTTTAAAGAGAGAGGAGAAAGATTTAAAAAGGACATGAAGGGCAACTTTTTATTACTCAAAGTAGTTAGGGTGTGGAATGAACTGCCAGAGGAATTGGTTGGTGTGGGTACAGTTAAAACATTTAATAGACATTTGGATAAGTGAATAGGAAATGTTTGGAAGGATTAGGTGGGGACTTTTTTCACTGGAGTGTCGGAGGTTGAGAAGTGACCTTATAAAATAACAAAATAGTTCATAAAATAATGAGGGGTACAAACAGGGTTAATGGTAGTTATCTTTTCCCTATGATGGGGAATTTCAAGACTGGGGACACATTTTTTAAGGTGAGCGAAGACAGATTTTAAAAAGATATGGGGCAATTTTTTTTTTAACACAGAGGGTGGTTTGTGTGTGGAAAGAACTTTGAGGAAGTGATGGATGTGGGCACAATTACAACATTTAAAAAATATTTGGATAAGTACATGAATAGGAAAGGTTTAGAGGGATATGGGCCAGAAGGTGGCAGGTGGGACTGGTTTAGTTTGGGATTATGTTCGGCATGGATTAGTTGGACTGAAGGGTCTGTTTCCATGCTGCATGACTATAAAACTATTCACAAAGTCTAAGATTGGTTATTTAGAAGTCTGATTACGAACCATTGGACTGACTGTTTGGGGTGTTTGACAGCTTACTTTCACTGTGTTGCGAACAGAGGTAGAAAGGCTGATTGGGTTCGGCCGTCTGTCTCCATGTCGTAGCACAGGTGATAGGCATGGTTTTGACTAGGATAGAGGAAGTTGAGCTTTTGTGATACGCAGCATGTCATTTGTGGGGGCAGGTTGTTTGAAATAGAGGCTGTTTCTATGTTATTGTTCCTCCGATGCTGCTCACTCAGAGAATGTGAGCTAAGCAACACCTCAGGGACAGTTGGTAGGGTAGTAGGGACCAGTCGCTGTGATCAATGGCACCTGGGTGGCACCATAAAGCTCATCAGCCTCAAAACTGACAGGAAACTCCGTCACAAGCTCAGAGATTAAAGCCCCAGTCAACGCAGTCCATCCATTCAGTGAAGATGTGGTGTAAACTGGTGGAGCGCAGACTCTGGGGATAAACCTGGGCTGCAGCAAGGGCAGGGGCATCGAGGGTTAGCAGGGTGGGAGGAAGAAGAAAGAGGGGTCATGTGTTCATTCCCTGAGGATCACACTGATCATTTATGGAAAAGGATAGACTTTGTCGAAAAGTTCCAAGTTTCAAATTGGAGGAAGGCCAATTTTGATGGTATCATGCAAGAAGTTTCAAAATTTGATTGGGACAGTTATTTGCAGGTAAAGAGGCGGCTGGAAAGTGGGAAGCCTTCAAAACTGAGGTAACAAGAGTCCAGAGACAATATGATCCTGTTAGGGTGAAAGGCAAGGCTGGTAGGTGCAGGGAATGCTGGATGACTAAAGAAATTAAGGTTCTGGTCAAGGCAAAAAAGGAAGCATTTGTCAGGTATAGATAGTGGGGATCGAGTGAATCCCTAAAGAAGTATAAGGATAGTAGAAGTACACTCATAGAGCCATACAGCAGGAAACAGACCATTCGGTCCAACCAGTTCATGCCAAACATAATCCTAAACTAAATCAGTCCCACCTGCCTGCTGTTGGCCCATATCCCTCCAAACCGTTCCTATTAATGTACTTATCCAACCACTTCCTCACGCGAACCACCCTCTGTGTAGAAAAACTTGCCTCATGTCTTTTTTAAATCTCTCTCCTCTCACCTTTAAAATGTGCCCCCTAGTCTTGAAATCCTCCATCCTAGAGAAAAAACAACTACATTTAACTCTATCTATACCTCTCATTATTTTATAAATTTCTATCAGGTTGCCTCTCAACCTCCTACACGCCAGTGAAAAAAAGTCCCAGCCTATCCAACCTTTCCTTATAATTCAAATGGGGAGGTGATGGCCTAGTGGCGTTATCACTGGACTGTTAATCCAGAGACCCAGATAATATTCTGGACACCTGGGTTCAAATCCCACCACAGCAGATGGTAGAATTTGAATCCAATAAATATGTGGAATTAAGAATCCGATGATGACGATGAATCCATTGTCGACTGTCAGGAAAAACCCATCTGGTTCACTAATGTCCTTTAGGAAAGAAAAGTGCCATCCTTATCTGGTCTGGTCTACATGTGACTCCAGACCCACAGCAATGTGGTTGACTCTTTACTGCCCTCTGGGCAATTAGGGATGGGCAATAAATGCTGCCTGGCCAGCGTTGCTCTCATCCCGTGAATGAATAAAGAAAAATAAACAACCTTCCATACCTGGCAACATCCTGGTAAATCTCTTTTGAACTCTCTCCAGCTTGATAATATCCTTCTTGTAACTGGGTAACCAGATCTGGACACAGTATTTCAGAAGAGGCCTCACCAATGTCCTGTATAACCTCAACATGACTTCCCAACTCCTACACTCAAAGGACTGAGCAATGAAGACAAACATGCCAAATGCCTTTTTAACCACCTTGTCTATATGTGACACAAACTTTAAAGAAATATGTACCTGCACCTCATGTCCTCCTGTTCTACAACACTTACCCAAGGCCCTACCATTAATTATATAAGCCCTACCCTTGTCTATTGTACCAAAATGTAATACCTTGCATTTATCCATATTGAACACCATCTGTCATTTTTCAGCCCATTGATCCATTTGATCAAGATCCCTCTGTAATCTTAGAAAACCTTCTTCACTGTCTACAATGCCACCAATTTTGGTGTTGTCCGCTAACTTACTGATCATGCCTTCTGAATTCTAATCCAAATCATTTATATAAATGATAAACAAAAGAGGAGCCAGAACCAATCCCTGTGGAACACCGCTGGTCACAGGCCTCCAGTTCGAAAAGCAACCTTCTACCATTATTCTCTGTCTCCTGCCATTAAGTCAATTATGTATCCAATTGGCAAGCTCATCCTGAATCCCAAGTGACCTAACTTTACTAACTAATCTACCTGGCGGATACTGAGATCCAAATAAACAATGTCTACTGCTCTGCCATCATTAATCTATTTGGTAACTTTCTCAAAAAACTCAAATCAAGTTTGTGAGACACGATTCTCCCCGCATAAAACAATGTTGGCTATTCCTAATCAATTTTTGCCTGTCTAAATGTCCATAGATCCTATCTCAAGAGCGAAATCGGGAGGGTAAAAAGGGGACATGAGATAGCTTTGGCAAATAGAGTTAAGGAGAATCCAAAGGGTTTCTACAAATACATTAAGGAAAAAGGGTAACTCGGAAGAAGCCAGGACACCTTAAAGATCAGTAAAGCCACCTATGTATGGAACTGCAAGAGATGTGCGAGATACTAAACAAGTATTCTGTCTCAGTGTTTACTGTGGAGAAGGATAAGTAAGGTAGAGAACTGGGGGAAATAAATAGTGATTTCTTGAAAAGTGTTCATATTACAGAGGAGGTTCTGGATGCCTTAAATGCATAAAGGTGGCTGAATCCCTGGGACTGGATCAGGTGCACCCTAGAACTTTGTAGGAAGCTAGAAAAGTGATTGCTGAGCCCCTTGCTGAGATATTTATGTCATCGATAGTCATGGGTAAGTTGGCTAACATGATGCCATTATTTAAGAAAGGGGGTAAGGAAAAGCCAGGGAATTATAGATCGGTGAGCCTGACATCAGTGGTGAGCACGTTATTAGAGGGGATTCCGAGGGATTTACATGTATTCGAAAGTTATGGACTGTCTAGGCGTAGTCATGGCTTTGGGAAATCGTTTCTCACTAATTTAATTCAGTTTTTTGAAGAAGTGACAAAGAGGATTGATGAAGGCAGAGCAGTGGACGTGATCAAAACAAACTTCATTAAGGCACTTGACAAGGTTCCATATGGTAGACTGGTTAACAAGGTTAGATCACATGGAATACAGGGAAAACTAGCCATTTGAATACAAAATTGGCTCAAAGGTAGGAGACAGAGGGTAGCATGGAGGCCTGTGACTAGCAGTGTACCACAAGAATTGGTGTTGGGTCCATTGCTTTTCGTCATTTACATAAATGATTTGGATGTGAATATAGGAGCTATGGTTAGTAAGTTAGCAGATGACACCAAAGTTGGTGTTGTAGTGGACAGCGAAGAAGATTTCCTCAGAATACAACGGGACCTTGATCAGATGGAGTTCAATTTAGATTAATGTGAAGTGCTGCATTTTGGGAAAGGCAAACCAGGGCAGGACTTATACACTTAATGGTAAGGTCCTGGGGAGTGTTGCTGAACAAAGAGATCTTGGCGTGCGGGTTCATAGTTCCTTGAAAGTAGTGTCGTAGGTGGACAGGGTAGTGAAGAAAGCATTTGGTACGCTTGCATTGGTCAGTGCATTGAGTATGGGAGTTGAGTTGTCATATTGCAGCTGTGCAGGACATTGGTTAGGCCACTTTTGGAATACTGTGTTTGATTCTGGTCTCCCTGCTATAGGAAGGATGTTGTAAAACTTGAGAGGGTTCAGAAAAGATTTACAAGGTTATTGCCAGGGTTGGAGGGTTTGAGCTATAGGGAGAGGCTAAATAGGCTGGGGCTATTTTCCCTGGAGCATCGGAGGCTGAGAGGTGACATTATAGAAGTTTATAAAATCATGAAAGGCATGGATAAGGTCAATAGTCAAGGACTTTTCCCCAGGGTAGGGGAGTCCACAACTAGAGCGCATAGGTTTAACGTGAGAGAGGAAAGATTTAAAAGGGACCTAAAGAGCAACATTTTCACACAAAGGGTGGTACATGTATGGAATGAACTGCCAGAGGAGGTTGCGGAAGCTGATACAACTACAACATTTAAAAAGCATCTGGATGGGTATTTGAATAGGAAGAGTTTAGAGGGTTATGGGCCAAATGCTGTCAAATGGAACTAGATTAATTTAGGATATCTGGTCGGCATGGACGAGTTGGGCTGATAGACATGTACAGCACAGAAACAGACCTATGGCTCTATTTGAAACCATTTCATATTATGATATTGCCTGGAGTCTATGACCAGGTCAAAGTTAAGTGAGCAGTAGGGGGTTGGTATAGAATCACCACCAGTTATTTCTCATTCTGACACTGCCCACCCAACCCATTCTCCCGCTTTCTCCCCGTAACCCGTGATCCCCTTGACAATCAAGAACCTATCTATTTCCATCTTAACTATACTCAATGACCTGGCCTCTACAGCCTTCTGTGGCAGTGAATCCCATAGATTCACCACTCTCTGGCTGAAGAAGTTTCTCCTTACCTCCTATCTAAAAGGTCTTCCCTTTACTCTAAGGCTGTGCCCTCGGGTCCTAGTCTCTCCTACCAACGGAAACATCTTCCCAACATCCACTCTGTCCAGGCCATTCAGTATTCTGTACGTTTCAATTAGATTCCACCTTCATCCTTCTAAACTCCATCGAGAATAAACCCAGAGTCCTCAAACGTTCCTCATATGTTAAGCTTTTCATTCCTGAGACCATTCTCGTGAACCTCCTCTGAACCCGCTCCAGGGCCAGTACATCTTTCCTGAGATATGGGGCCAAAACTGCACACAATACTCCAAATGTGGCCTGACCAGAGCTTTATAGAGACTCAGATGTACATCCCTGCTTTTATATTCAAGTCCTCTCAAAATAAATGCCAAAGTTGCATTTGCCTTCCCAACTACTGACTCAACCTGCAAGTTTACGTTGAGAGAATCCTGGACTAGAACTCCCAAGTCTCATTACACTTCAGATTTCTGAATTTTCTTCCCATTTAGAAAACAATCTCTCCTATGTCTTATGGACTCTGTGTGCATCCAGCATTTGCTGATGTGATTTCCTTTGAATGAAGCTTAATCATTCCTGAGCACAGGGCTGCAGTTGTCACTGTTACATAGAGCAGCTTAAACCCAAATATTCTGCCTTTCTGTGAAGCTCACTACACAAGGATAGAATACACCCAAAGAACAGGGAATATGGCCTACAAACCAGAGAAATCAGATACCTTGTTGGAGTGGTTGTGAAAGATGACAACAATGCCTATGGCCTACAGAGGCAGGATGCCAAGCTTAGCTGAGGAGACAGATACATTGCATCTGACTGCCTGTTTGTTAAATCCTTACTTTTGCAAAGCAACTTTAACGAGTCTCATTTGGAGCAGTGAAGCTATTTAAAGACTGTGGATGCTCGATGCAAGTTAGAGGATAAAAGATGGATATATTCACCCATCACAGTGAGTTTTCACAAGATCCAAAAGGCTGAGCGTTGGGATATCCAGCCTTAGTTCTTTTAGCAGATGCTGGTAGACAGTTGAGAAGAGGGTGGGCTCCACGTGAAGCAGCGAGCAGATAGTACTCAGGGTCAGAGGCCAATTGTGCTGGCGACATGAGATGTGAACACAGCAGCCCACCAAGGCTTCCTTCTTCTCCAGAGTGACATGCAGGAAGCTTTGATGCTCATACACCTTCAAGTAAAGCTCGCTGGCTGTGTCTTCAACAACTGGACGTACTCGCAAAATCCGACACAGGTCATGTACTCTCTTCTGACCTGTGTGAAGAGTGACAGAAGTGAGAGACCGAGAGAGGTGCACGCAATCAGAGAAGGACCACATCAGAGTAGTGGCTCCAGGCAACACTACAAGTAATAATACTACAGGCAACACCTTGTACTCAGAAACAATAATGAGGGAGTTGCACACTGTTTGAAGTCTGGGCGAGTGCTGCGCTAAGGCAGCTGCACTGTTGAAAGTGACCACTTTTGGCTGAGACATGGCTGCCATCTCAGCTGGGCTGAAACAATCCCACAACATTATTTGGAAGAGCTCAGATGTTCTCTGATGTCAGTGAATCCTTGAAATCAATATCATTAAAAACCAGTCAGTTTTTGTATTTAAGAGCACTTGCTGTCCACAAACTGCCTACTGCAGTTCCTAAATTACAGTAATAGCGTCACTTAAAAAAGACAAGATCATATATGTAAAACTAAAGATGTCTCCAGTTCCCTTTTAAGAATACATTTTGAGATTAATTACAAATATTTGTCAGGACACACATACACACACGCGCGCATGCGCGCACACACACACACACACCCACACACCCTGGTTGAGACAGTGGTGCCAATAAACACTTCAGACCTCAGCCATCAATGCATCTCCCTTCAAGGACCAAACACCGAAACTGAATCAACATGACTTCATTTGCAGCTTCCATGTCTGATGCATGTCGTTTTTGGAGAGATAACTCTCCCCACCAAGTGTCTCATCTTCACATTATGGGATTACTAACTTTGAAATACTTATTACAACCTTAGAGATCAAAACATAAGAACTGTTCCCAAAAACATCAGTTTTAGACAAAGGATGATCAATACAAAATTTTAATTTCTGATGAGCACTTTTGGCTTTATTTACTTTCACTGTTCTGATATCTTACCTTGTATCTGGTTGCGACAAGGCTTTTTCACCTCTGCCGTGCTCTCACTGTATCTCACTGCTGTGAAAAAAGATTGAAACAAATAACTTCCAACAATGCCATTTTACATCGAGACATGTATGTTCCCCCAACACAGGGCCTATCTTCTACCCCAGAGTGCATGTCCTCACCAGTATCCAATGCACACATCACTTCTCCTCCCCTAAATATAGAGATAAATGATACTTTGGAAGGAACAGAAGATAAATTTAGGGGTGCAGTTTCCCAAAACATTAAAATGACCCCTCTCCTTCATAAAACTGTTTAAAAGCTTAACACATGTTCTGCTAAGAGGGATTAAATATAATGATCAAGGTATTATCAAAGTTTTGCATAAAACTTCACTCACATTGCACTATGTGTAGTTCACCAGGTCACTGTCTTGTGTGACAAAATGACGTTACAACCAGAGATAACAAGCCAAATTAAAATCAGCCTTAACATCACTGGATTCACAGAAAAGTGAAATTAACTTATTCAATGACCCTCAAAATTGCCACCTGTTCCCAAGTAGACTCTACAGATAACAAATCTTAGATACCAAGTTTGTAACTTAAACAAGATAGTCAATATATGATTAATACTATAACTTGAGCAGGACAAAACTAAACAATAAAGTAATCTCATCAGTATGTGATTGAAAAACAATCTTCTTTGATCATAATCCTCACTCTAACACATAGAGACACACAGTTTTGAAATAAACTAAAAAGAAAAAATGAATTGTAATTTATCATTTTAATTAACAGTTTCAACAAATTCAATGCCACACCTTCATGCAATCCTCGATAATGAGTTGTTCACAGACACTAATTTCAAAGTTACCGGTGAATGCGAGCAGTTCAATACAGTTGTCACCTGTTCTTTTTTAAAAATCAGTATTCTCTGTGGCTATATGGTTCACGACAGTCCTCCTTTCATTGACTAACAACAGCCCACTAGCTTCCAGGCCTGTGCATTGCAACGCGTATTGTCAAATAGTCTACATTGTTCCCCAGATTAGTAATCCAGTCGAGTTACCAGCAACAAACATCTGTGTTTGGTTTTCTTCCCCTTTTTGTCAAGAAAAGTACACAGCTGTTAAAAGTTTAATAAACCCTAATCTTGAAGTTGTTGATTTGTTCGCCAAGCTGGCTTGTTTTCGTTCAGACTTTTCGCCACCATGCGAGGTGACATCATCAGTGGAGCCTCCAATGAAGCAATGTTATTCTACTCCACTTGGAATTTATACTGTTTGGACCATTATGATGAGTAGTGTCATTTCCAGACTCACCATAACGGACCAGACAGTATAAATTCCAAGCGGAGTAGAATAACATCGCTTCATCGGACGGCTCATTGATGATGTCACCAGCATGGTGACGAAACATCTGAACAAAAACAAGTCAGCTTGACGAGCAAGTCAACAACCTCACCCAGAACCGAGCTACAGACCTTTGCTAAAACTTTAAACACTAATCTTGGTTCACAGTTCCACAGAGGAAAATAGGAGAAAAACATCAAAATTTTTGTCATTTATATAGATGATTTGGATGTGACTATAGAAGGTATGGTTAGTAAGTTTGCAGATAGCACTAAAATTGTAGGTGTAATGGATGCAAAGAAGGTTACCTCAGAGTACAAGGGACCTTGATTATATGGGCCAACGGGTGGCAGATGGAGTTCAATTCAGATAAATATGAGGTGCTGCATTTTGGAAAGACAAATCAGGGCAGGACTTATACACTTAATGGTAAGGTCCTGGGGACTGTTGTCAGACAAAAAGACCTTGAGGTGCAGGTTCATAGTTCATTGAAAGTGGAGTTGCAGGTCAACAGGGTAGTGAAGGCAGTGTTGGTACGCTTGCCTTTATTCTCAGCGCATTGAGTATGGGAGTTGGGAGGTCATCTTGTGGCTGTACAGGACATTGGTTTGGCCACTTTTGGAATACAGCATTCACTTCTGGTCTCCCTGATAATAGGAAAGATGTTGTGAAACTTGAAAGGATTCAGAAAAGATTTAGAAAGATGCTACCAGGGTTGAAGGGTTTGAGCTAGACGGAGAGGCTGAGTAGGCTGGGGCTATTTTCCCTGGAGCATCGGAGGCTGAGGGGTGACCTTACAGAGGTTTATAAAATCACAAGGGGCATGGATAGAGTGAATAGTCAAGGTCTTTTTGCCAGGGGAGGGCAGTCCAAAGCTATAGGGCATAGGTTTAAGTTGAGAGGGGAATGATTTAAAAGGGACCCAAGGGGCAACTTTTGCATGTCAGTGCGGGATGAGCTGCCAGAAGAAGTGAAGAAGGCTGTTACAATTAGAACATTTAAAAGGCATCTGGAATGGTACATGAACAGGAATGGTTTGGAAAGATATGGGCCAAATGCTGGAAAAATGGAATAGATTCATTTAGGATATCTGGTCAGCATGCATGAGTTGGACCGGTGTCTATTTCTGTGCTGTATATCTCTATGATTCTATGAAAGTAGAAAATGCTGCAGAAACTCAGCACGTCTGGCAGCACCTTCAGATGAAAAAAAGTCATATCAGAGTCAAAACACGAATTCTGTTTCTCTCTGCACAAATGCAGCCAGGCCTACAAGTTTCTCCGGTATTTTTCATTTTTATTTCAGGCTTCCAGCATATGCAATATTTTGGTTTTCTTTATGAGTGAAGAGTTTTGAGTTTTCTTTCATCAGTACTGTCAAGAATGAAGAGTAAAAAGGGAGCAGTGATTCAGAGCCTGCAGCAGGAGGATGGAGATTAAAAAATAAGAAAACCGTTTAGGACAAGAAGCAGGGAGGGGTGTTTTAAAAATTGCATTGTGAAACTGTTGAATAAATTAGTGAGTGCAAGCGTATCAGGAGGCTAGTCCATATTCTGGAGACAATTCAAAGATTCTCATCTGTAGTGGTAATCATGAGCAGGAGAAGCAGCAAATATTTCCTTCCTGCAGATATTTAAGAGGCATGGCATAAGCTCTGCTGGCCCATAAGGATCCTCTCATTTTGTGTGTATCACTCAAGATCAGGGAACCACTGCAGGAATCATTCAGTCATGGGCCAGCACGGTGGCTCAGTAGTTAGCTCACGGTGCCTCACAGCACCAGGCACCCTGGTCTGATTCCAGCCTTGGGCAACTGTCTGCGTGGAGTCTGCACATTCTCCCCGTGTCTGCGTGGGTTTCTTTTGGGTGCTCCAGTTTCCTGCCACAGTTCAAAGATGTGCAAATGGATTTGGAGGGGGACTGGGTCTGGGTGGGATGCTGTTCGGACGGTCAGTGCAGATTTGATGGGCTGAATGATCTCTTTCCGCACTGTAGGGATTTTATGATTCTATGAAAAACAAGGCTTGTACCTTGGGAGAAAGTTTCCTCAGAGCGTGTGGTGGTGAGCAGGCCCTCGGTCAGCAGGAAGCCACACTCCGTACATACCAAGTGGCTCTGGCTGTAGTGGGAATCCTCTACTACCTCAGAGGAGCCACATTCTGGACAGGGCATCTTCCAACCTCTTCTGGAGACCAAAACAAAAACAAGCTCAGCAATTGAGAGAGTACAAAAAGAAATACATTACACAAAGCAGGAGCTGCTGTACGAGTAGGCCAATTTGCCCCCTTGTTTATCAAGAATCCATCTACCTCGACCTTCAGAAGGTTCAAGGGCTCTGCTGCCACCTCCTTAGCAGGGGGAAGATTCCCAAAGTCCCTCTGAGAAAGAAAGCAAAATCCTCCTGATCTGTTGGGCGACCCCTAGTTCTGAAGCAGTGAGGTTTGGCTGGGTTTTTTTTTCCTCTCTCTTTTAGAGCACAGGACTGATTTCCCCCGGCCCTGTAACGGACGGACAGATCCGGAATGGGGGATGGAAATTTTGCGGCACTCTCCCAGCGCTGACGCTGAGGAGCTGTTGTTGTTGTTGCTGCTGCTGCTGGAAAGGAGGGCTGTCGAGGAGCACAGCCAGAGAACCTCTCTGTGGAAACAACCGTCAGATCAATTCAAAAATTCAAACTCCCAACCGTCGTGAACGAAAGGTCTCGCGCTCCTGCGCAAGCGCGCTGCTGCGTTTGTACGACACGACACGACACCCTTGGCATTCCCCCTTTATTCTGTTGCCACCCCTAGGACTTCATCTCTGACCCTGACCCTCTCCTCCACCAGCCATTCAGTTCATTTCCTGCCCGAGCCTCCCCCCACCCCCTCACCTCCCGAAACCCACCCACTACCCTCCCCTCCCATCCATCCGCCTTCTCCACAGCCCTCTACTTCTCCCAGCTCCCCCGACCCTCCCCAGTCCTTCCTTCCAGCCTCTCCCCTCACCGCTTTCCCTCTCCTTCTCGTCTCCCCCACCCAGACCACCTCCCACTCAGAGGACCTACCCCACCCCACCCCCCGCCCCGCTTCAGGGGAGGTGATGGCTAAGCAGAACAATCACTCGACTATTAATCCAGAAAGTGGGCTAATGTTCTGGCATCCAAATCCCACCACAGTCGATGATGGAATGCGATTTAAATTTTTGAAAAATCTGGAACTTGGGTGATTTCAGTGGGCAAATGAGAGTCGACCACGTTGCTGTGGGTATGGGGGTCACATGTCGGCCAGACCAGGCGAGGACAGCAGATGTAATGAATGAGATGGGTTTTCCCAACAATCATTTCATGGTCATCGATAGATTCTTATATTCAGATCTAAGTCTCAAAAAAATGAAACCCCACAGGTCACCAGGCATTGACCAAGACACCAGAAAAGGCAATGGCAGAAGCAACCCTATTGACCCTGAAGAGTCCACCTTGGGAGAGCTATCACACAGGATAGTCAAGCAACAGCCTGACAGAGTCATGACTCAGAGAACCACATGTTATTGACAATGTTGCAGACACCACCATCACCGTCCCTGGATACGTCCTGTCCCACCGGCAGGACTGACCTAGCAGAGGTGATGGAGCAGTGGTATGCAGTCAGGAGGGAGCTGGCTTGGGAGTCTTCAACATTGATTCTGGACCCCATGATGTTCATGGTTTCAGGTTGTTGCAAAGTTGGGTACAATACTTGGGGATTGGGAAGAAGAAAGTTAGAATTTAGTGTTTGTAAAATGCCGGAGGCAAAAGCATTGCATGGTCCCTTTAAAAGATCATGTGCCTCTTCTGTGCTTAGAAATTTAAAATGGATGTCTACGAGCAGCAGCTTGAAAATTTGCAAGTACACAGAGTATCCAACTTGAAACATTTGTATCGAAAGGCCGTACAGTTAGCAGGCCAAGCAGCAGTTTTTACCAAGACGACAAACTTCTGACTTTAGCCAATCAATTTGAACCAGGCACTAAGATTAAATTTAATCTGATGGTTTTGACAACATAGGACCAATCCTATTGTAAGAAATATTGATATGTCACCAACGGTATAAAAAGAAGGGGGTAGTTGGACAAAGCCCCAGAGCTAACTACCATCCGCCAGAGCTTGCAGCCCTCAGCTCTCAAGGGAGAATTGCTGGCTCTCACCTCAATGTCTTAGAGAAAGCATTATCTACATAACAGCAGTATCAATGGCACAACTAGTTAATATGCCTGACAGAAGAATTGACAGAGAAGACAGAACATTCCAGAAGACACATACCCTGGCTAAATGGGGAGGCAATGGCCTAGTGGTATTATCGCTGGACTATTAATCCAGAGACCCAGGCACTGTTCTGGGGACGAGGGTACAAATCCTAGCAAGGCAGATGGTGGAAATTGAATTCAATAAATATCTGGAATTAAGAGTCTAATGGTGACTATGAATCCATTGCCAATTATCAGGAATAACCCCTCTGGTTCAATCATGTCCTTTACAGAAAGAAACTGCCATGCCTACATGTGACTCCAGACCCACAGCAATGTGGTTGATTCATAATTGGTATGGGCAATAAATGCTGGCCAAGCCACTGATGCCTCATCCTGTGAATGAATAAAAGAAAAAAAAATTCTAGAGACTAAATTCTATTTTGTTTATGTAAGTGGGATTTGTATTACTGGAACAGCATACCTTTAGAATCTTGCTTTATTCAGGAATAGTTCGTAGTTAGAAAGGATTTATTTGGTTTCTTAATAGTTTAGTTAATTCGTTCACAATTACAGTTAAATAAATAAATTGTTACTGTTGATTTTAAAGTGAGGGTCAGGGATTTATTTTATTTAACCACTAGAAGTTGCTGAAAGGCAGGTTACACCACTTTTCACACTCCTTTTACGGATTATAAGGCGAGGTGCTCCTCTGTGGGTGTTTCGGTTTTAGTTCTCAGAGATGGTCAACCTTCGCTTTATAACAGTGGGAAGTGCAAGTGGATACTGGGGGAAGTGGACGTTGGGGAAGGGGTCAGTTTGGAAGGTCCAGTGGGGTGGAGGTCGGGGGTCAGAATTGAACTCGGGGGTGGGTTCAAAGTGGACACTCACTTTACAATCAACAAGTAACAGTTTTATTTTATCTAACAGTGAACAAATTAACAAAACAAATAAACCCCTTCTAACTACTGTTCCTGAATAAAACAAGATTCTAATAGTATGCTGATCTAGTAAATATAAGTACTACTTATAAAAAAGGATAGAACTTCGTCTCTCAAAATTACAGCCAGGTTACGTGCCTTCTGGAATGCTCCGTGCCTTCTCCAAAGATTCGTCTGTCAGGAGTATTCACTAGTTGTGTCACCACTAGTTGTTATTGAGATGGGTTCTTTCTCTAAGACAGAGAAGAGGATGTGAGAGCCGGTGATTCTCTCTTGAGAGCTAAGGACGGTTAACTCTGGTGGATGGCAGTTAGCTCTGTTATCTTTGTCCAACTGCCCCCTTTCTTTTATAGCCTTGATGACATATGACATATCAATTTATTACAATAGGATTGATCCTATGTTGTCAAAACAATCAGATTTAAATTTAATTGGTTTTTGGTATCTAAGTGCTTGGTTCAAATTGATTGGATAAATTCAGAACTTGTTGCATTCGTAAAAACTGCTGTTTGGCCTGCTAACTGTACGACCTTTCAATACAAATGTTTCAAGTCGGGTGTTCTCTGTACACTTACAAACTTCAAACTGCTCCTCGCAGACATCTTTTTTTAAAAATCTCTAAGCACACAAAGAGCACATCATCTTTTAAAGGTACCACACAAACCTTTCCCACCAAGCATTTTACAACCACCAAATTCTAATTTCCTGCCTCCCAATCCACAAGTACTCTACCCAACTTTGCAACATCACTCACTTCCACTCCCTCCAACTTCCACTTCACCTCCACTTCCATACCCCCTGACTTTCACACACCCCCACTTGCCCCCAAAACCTGACTTTCACTTTCTGCTTACCTCCACTTCCCCCTTAACTTCCACTGCCCCCGACTTTAAGTTCCCCCACCTACAACTTCCTCAAACTTCCACTTCCCGCCCACTCTACTTCTGCCTTCCATATGTTCCAGCCTACCACTTCCATACCCTGACTTCCACTTCCAACTCACCCTTGACATCCACTTCCCCTCCCCCCGCCGACTTCCACATCCTGACTTCCACATGCCCCCACCTACCACTCACGCCCATCCCTGAGTTACACTTCCCAATTTCCATTCCCCCCCAAATTCCACATCCCACCCATCCTGAGTTTCACTTCCCTCCACTTGCACTTCCCCCGTGACTTCCACTTCTCCCCAACTTCCACTTTCCCCCACTCCCCCAACTGACTTTCACTTCCCCAATTTCTACTTGCCCCCTGCCTTTGACTTCCACTTACCCCCCCCAAGACCTCCTTCCACCACCCAAGACCTTCATTTACCTTCACAACCACTTCAATTCCTGATGCCCGACCTCCACCAAACTGGACCTCCCCGCCCATCCAAGAGATCCACAATCCCCACACTTCTAATTCCTCCCGCCACAGACTTCCATTTCTGTGCCCCAAGGCCTCCATCTGCTGCATCCAGACCTCCACTCTGCACCTCTACAGTCACCCTGGACCTCCATTCAACCCCCAAAACTTCATTTCCCCCTCCACATCTCCTTCTCCCTTCCCCAAACTCCACATCATTTCCGCCACCCCCCCCCCCCCCCCACCCCACCAACTTCTGCTACAACCCAACCTCCACTCCAATGCCCCTCCCACTCTGGATCTTCCCCACATCCCATACCTCCACTTGTCCCACCCCCTCCCGGACCTCCAAATCCCCCCTCCAACTTCCACTTCCTTTCCAACTGCCATTTCGCACCCAACTTCCGCTTCCCCCCGGCCCTCCATTCCCAACTTCCACTTCCCCAACTTCCACTTCACACCCATTTCCACTCCCCACAACTTTCACTTCCCCTCTACTTCCACATCCCCCCATCCCTGGCTTACAACCCCCTGACTTCCACTCCTCCCGACTTCCACTTTCCACCATCTGACCTCTGTTTCCCCCCAAGGCTCCCAGACCAACACTCCTCCCCAACTTCAACTTCCCTCCCCTCAACATCTGCATCCCTTCTATCTCCACTTCCCCCATTTCCACTTAGTTCATTTCCACTGCCCC